AAATGTGGTTTTGAGCTAAAATTGGCTGTTGTCCTTGGTTGAATACTGTTAGAGAATACAGAACAGTGAGGTTCCTGTGTTTGATATACTTTGCACATTTAGATGTAGTTTGCACAAAGCAACTTATACCTAAATGACTGAAGAATCCTCAATAGCACACAAATGGATAAGTGGTAGATGGTAAAAAATAATTGCTTATGAAACCTGTTTTTTTTTTTCTGTTGTTCTAAATCTTATTTAGCTGTTCTCTGTACATAAAGAGAAGGTATTTGCATAAAATCCCCTGTAAGTTCCAGAGTCTTCTCAGAAATGGCTTTACATATAAAAATTACTTTTTCTTTTACAATGTTTTTCCATGCTTAGAGAAGATCTACTTTATCACAGAAAATACTTGCTACAGGTATTACCACATTATGTTGAGCTCATTATTTAAGACTGTATGAGATACATTTCAAAATCCAAGTTTTTCATAAAATCTCCTCTGTCCAAATGTCAAAAGCCATTGAGATCAATATTTGACTGAAAAATTTAAGGTGAAGTATTCTAAAGTTCACTGAGAAGAGAATGTTTGACAAGAGCAACCACAGTACCTCCTCAACCAGTCTTGCAAATGAGTTATTCTAGGCTGCAAAAGGATTGTATGCATTTGCTAATTATCATCTGTTGCCAACTGTGTGTCACTCTGGACAAGCCCAGAACATATGCAAAAGATCTGCAGTCAGTATACATCGTCACTGGAACTTAGGATACTCATTAAACTGGAAGATATATTCTGGTTTTTGGAATAAAATTTCTTCTGTCTAAAATGTTGCTGTATATTCATCTGTTGTGACATTTATGCTACTGCCCTTTATATCTTCATGGTTTTCTCTCCAATAATATGTTTTTCAGTCAACCACTACTGGACATTACCTTCCTGTGAGTCTTATTAGAGAGTTAGGCTAGCTACCTGCCTGTAAATCCATGAAAGCTGTTTTGTATCATTTACTGCAATGCACAGTTGAAATGCCAGCCTGTACCAGAACACACATAAATACCTTAGTCCAACAAGGTCCAGTTTCAAATGAGGGTTTAGGTTGACTTTAGGTGTTGTCCCTCTCCTGCCCCTGGCAGTTTCAGGAAGTGTCCAGTGCACAAGGAACACACTTTAATATGAAATCATATTAAATCCCCCACCATATGCTCAAAAATGCTGCTCTCTTCCTGCCTTGAGTGAGAACATGGCTTCCTCAGAGGAGGGGTTTGAAGCCCAGGCTCCTCTTCCCCTGCTTTCTCATGCTTTTGGCTTGATGTGTATGGGATTAATAAGCAGATAAAACTGAAGGAGCAGAGAGGGTGTCAGTAGTAACAGGACTTAACTCAGGACTTCCCTCAGCCCCCGCTCATGAAGGCCATTGGTGCCACACCTAGATAGCCTCTCACACATCAGCAACAGAATGGTGTGATGGCTCCAGAGAGCAACACCAGCCCAGCCCAGCCAGAATTACACCTCTGTGTCCCCCAGCCTCCCCTGAGGCTGTCCCCAGCACAGGTGTAACCCAGCACCTCGCCTGGCCCGGCAGCACTGCTGCTGCTGGGGATGTGCGCTGTGGTTCCACCTGAAACTTGGGCTGTGGAGGCTGAGACAGCAGAGGGAATCCTCCTCATTTTGACCTGGAAACTGAGCATGTCTGGGATGAAAACATGAAATCAGTCCGTGTAACATATTTGCCGTTGTTTCAGGAATTCCAGCCCATCTGATACAGAAACCAGTTTCATTAATCAGTCAAGCTAACTCACATCCATTGGCAAATTACCCACACCAGAGAAGGACATAAGTGGTTCAAGTCCAGAGCAAACTGAGCCCACTCTGACCACTGGTTGATGTCACTTTGGTCCTCTGAAATGAGCTGAAGACTTTGTAGAAATTCCTCTAGCTGAGGATGTTACACAAGGCAAATAAACTACCTGAGGGACTTTAAAGGTGGAACTATATTATTCCAGAAGTTCCTGATGAAAATACTATATGTGTCACCTATCTCTCCATGAAAAATATAAATTAAATAATAGGGATACTTAACTTCTGTGTGCTTGAGGTTAAATGTTCAGCTAATGTAAAATGTCTCATAGCAGAGCCTTCTGTAATTTACCCCAAAGAGTTTAAAGGGTATGGATGGGGTATCTTCTGAGTTACCAATTCTTGCCTTTTTAAAAAAAGAGACCTGATTAAAATTAAAAATCCTGGCCAATATAGTAATAGGAAAAATGAAACAAATTATGAGTCTTCACTGTGACATCATCCTATGGAAAATAATACTTTACAAGTAATTTGTGGATTGATCAAAATAATGAGATTATTTGCTATCACAATAATTAGTGAAAGATAGATAGACTTGATAGTTTTGATGAGTTTTCAAATGTGTAAAAGGAATAACCATGATTACATGAAAGCCATCCAATTAATAACACTTTTGATGAAGGACTGAGTCACTTCCATGTCAGTATCTAAAAATGTAGTTGTTTACAGGGTCCAAAATGTGGTTGTTCACCATGGAAAAGCCCATAAACCAAGTCAGCTGTTTGGCAGATTTTCATCTATGTAAATCCTTATTTAAACTAATTATATGGCCACAGTTTATAAACTTTATAAGAAAGCAATCACCAGACTTGCTTTTCTTATCGGTTTCAGATATTGAAACTTAACTGTAAATTTTGCAAAATGAATCACTAGGCTAGGGAGTCTATAAACTGTACCATATTACATAGACATATAAATGTCCAGTACTTTCTTCCTCCTTTAAATACCAGCTTTAGTCTCTGCATTTTTAGAGTTTGCAAGAAACACACACACACACACACACACCCCAAAGCCTAAATAAAACCAATCCACAGTAAAGCCCTTGAAAATTGTAAGCATAAACTCCAGCTTTAAGGATCCAAATTAAATATTCATATGCACTAAGCATCTTGTATAAGGAGGTGGTTCTCTTGCTGTTGTCATAAGTCAGCCCTTTGCTCCTTGTGTCTGCTTCAAATGCTTTTATCCCTGGGAGCACGAGGCTTGCTTCATCCTGCTTGCTTGTCAGCAGGGCTGATGCACTGCATTATAAAAAGCATTCTCCACAACTGCTGCTCACAGGCAGCACTTTTAGCTCTACACACACAACCCGCAAGATTCTCTATCAACATAATCATTATTTATCCAAAGCTTTGCCAGTAAATTGAGCCTAACTAGTCTTTCCTTGGGGTAAATATGCAGAAGCCTCTATTTTATTATTACTCATGTAGAGAAAGCAGCATTCTCCTCAACAGTGGTAGGATCTGGACGAGGAATACGCCTCACAGCTGTTGCATCATTTCTCCTGGAAGGCAATGACTTGTAGCACGGTGCTTAACCGAGGATGAACTGGCAGAAAGGCAGCCAATAACTGTGCGTTATTTACATCGTAGGCGTATTTTAGCTGCACAGTTGTATCCTGAAAGCCGCATCTCCCTTATCTGAGAGATTCGTTGCATTTTACTGGTTTGGCCAAAGCTGCTTCGTGTTCCGCAAGCAGCTCTCAGAGACTCCCTGGGATCAGTAGCTCTAATTTCTAGAGAGAAAAAAGGCAAGATTTACTGTGTTACAGAAATGGGCAGCTGAAGCATTGGAAAAGACTTGTGACATAAACTGGAGATCTGTGTGTATTGCTGGTTTATTATAAAAGGCCCTGAAATAGATGGGTGTACACTAATGTAATTAACACAAATCAATAAATAAAACAAAGGAATTTCAATATTTTGGCACAATTATCATTATCTGTAGTAGTAGTAGCAGTAACATTAAATTATTATTATTATTATTGGCTTTTTTATGAGTCTGACTTATTTGGGTCCCTGCCTATTAATGCTATAGAGTGAGAGTGGTTTTTTATTCTTGTAACTCATAACAAATTTCTCATGTACAGGTTTGAGTGGGCACAAAAGCTTCTAATTTGTAACTAGATTGTATTTAATGCTGAGAGACTTAATGGAAAAAACAGTATTAATTAAAATAATAGCAATATCCATTTTTTTGTTTAATTGAAATGGTGTATTTTGAAATCAATTTGTTGAATAAAATACATAATTAGAGGTGACACTTGTATAATGATGGAATGGAGGTTGTGACATATCAATAAACTGTTTCACAGGACACTGTTAACATACCAATCCTCTCCTACAGTTTCAAAACAATCAAGTTAGGTTGTAACACTTTGAAAAGCTGATTGATATAAATAGATACCTGCTAAAATGTATAGTATTCTAACAAGGTTCTCTAATATTTGCTTTAGTTCATTTTGATAATTATTTAAAGAACAATCCTTCTAAATTTAAAGGAAATAAGTAGGGCAACAGACTGAAATGTTGGTTGCTATTCTGCTGTTGAGAATCAGAAAACTTCTGGGAGTTTTCTAATTATTAGGAAAGTATTTTGCTTAACATTGCTACCTTAAATTGCACATCTGACATATAGATATACACATGTCTCCACTTAGTTGCTGTAATCTTTGCAAGGTACTCAGCATTTCCAAAAGGTAACTTATCCCACCTGTTCTCTTATGCTGTGCAGGTAGTCTAGATATGTAACTTTCAGTGCCCAAAATAAGATTAAATTTATTCCATGTTATCAGATACTGAGAGACATCCAAAACTTCTCTCATCAAATCTTTGCTCTCTGTGGGATCTATTACATGAGATTATTTCCTGCTCACAAGGATCCTAAATATTCCTTAAAGGGATTTTTTTCTACTACTTTTTTACTTCTGCTGAACAAAGTAACTTTAAAAGCTTCTCTCATGACAATCAAAAGAGTTGCAGCAGTCACTCTGTAACCTGTGGGGCTTTTTCCCTGAGATCCCAGGAAAAAGAACCACCCAGAAGTGAATACTTTTTGGCATATAATCAGCACATAAGTAAGAATTTGTCAAAAATAATTGTTTGTTCATAATGATAATGGGAATGCTTTTAAAAAAAGTTTCATTGGAATGAAAAACAATCACTGAATTCTTTGCATATTTTATTTTTCTTTTTGATTTCCAACTCACACACATCTGGCATATTTTACATCTTTGCAATAAAACATGGTTACAATAGCTTAAGGAATTTATATATCCAAAATATTTCACCATGATCTCAAGATGAAATGAACTTGTCTTCCAGATGTTCAATAGTCTCCCAATTCTAAGCTACAAACTCAAGATATTGCTTACAGACAGGTGATGAATAACTTAATCATTACGCTGATCCCCATGATTTCCAAACCTTATAAATACAAACAACAATGAAGAAGGAAATTCAGGGCTAAACTTACTAATACAAGGTGGATAACAAATAAGTAATCACATCAATAAATAATGATATGTTCCTGGTGCAAAGTGCCAATACAAAGAATCCATTATCTTTTTAAATAAATGACTGCAAGTGAGTGTAAATTCTGAGAAAATTACATTCCTGTTACATGCCTCATAGCCCTACCGACACAATATGTACATCTATGACAATACAGTCACCAAATATACAAAGAAGAAACATGAATTAAAGTGTATATACCCCTGGGTGTGTAATTTGATCAGTACAATGTGCAGAAAATTATTCTGATAGTTATCATTACAGTATTGTAAAAGATGAAGTTCCTTAGTCTGAGTGGCTTCAGGTGAGATATTCAGAAGAACTGAAAAGAACAACCTCAGTCACCTCTGAGATGAGGCTAAGGCTGTCAAATAAACCAAGCTACTCAGATTAAAAATCAGGGAAAAAAAATCAGTGGGGGCTCTCTTGCCCATGATTTATGTGCCAAATGTTAATAATCCAGAAGTATAGCACTTTGTCTGTATTGGGAATCATTAAGCATTACAAAGCATTAAACTGAACTTCCTTCTTTGCTCCCCTTCTGTCTAGTCTTTAAATTCAAAAGGGAGGAAATTAATTTCTATTGTATAAAGTATAAATATGGCAAATGATGGCTTTTTATCCAAATGCTTCGCGAGCAGAACTCCACTTAAGAGGGGTAAACTTTAGATTCAAAAAGTGAAAAATGTGTTGGTGAAAATGTCAGAATTACTGTTTGCTCCCAAATTCAACCCTTTAACACAAGCTGTACCCTTAGGCAGATCTTCAGTCTGATTTGTGTGAATGCACCTGTTCCTTCAAGACATCAGGTTTAAAGTACATGCAAGTTGTAACTCCACAATAAAATTAAGAAACAGTTTTGTTCTTTATACAAGGTTTTACTTTTACAAAAGTATCCCTTTAAAGTTAAGATGTGCATCTGATGTACAAAGTATCAAACATATTTTTTTTTAATCTCAGCTTGAAAAGAGGCTGGAGATGGGATGCATGTTAGGTTCAAAGCCTAAACATTGAAATAACTGGACACAAGGTTCCCCAGAATTTTCAAAAGTCTCTTGTGGCGCATCCTACTACCTTTTCTCAATAAACAAAGATATATGAAATAATTACCAAAACATTTCCTAATTCATATAATTTACATGATACAAGCTTGCTTTTCAGCAGCTGGTGTTCAGTTGTGAAAAAACACACAAAGTAAAATGGTTGCTGACTACAATGTACAGCTATTGCTGGGTGTAATGGAATGTACAACGGAGGTCAATGCAGACGTGGTTTTCCACCAGAGACTACACCTTTCTTTGCAGCACTTGTGCTCTCAGCTTTACCTGGGCTTTCAGTTCTTCACCGTGCTTCAGTATCTGTTCTGATGTTCATAATGCCACCGGTTAAAATCTATATTAAAAGCTACAATGCTGCCAGAAGCCATGCCAGTAATCAGAGTTCTGAAAAAGATATCAAAGATGTTGATGTTAATTCCCTTTTGCTTTCTCGAGCTATAGATTTTCATAGACAGAAAAAAGCTAAAAGAATAAGGCACTTTTTGCTACACTGTCTGAAGTTCTTAAGCTTGGCTGAAAATCAGAAATGTGTCTCAAACTTTTGCAATTGGTTTTAAGGCATTTAATAGGTGCTACAGCACTCTGACCCAACCCGACTATTGCTTTGTTCTTAATGCAATTTTAGCCATATTTTTCTAGCTGTGTGTCTGGCTTACTAACTTCAATGAAATAAGACCTCACCTTAATGTTAAGTGCTTACATTATGAGACTCAAGTATCAGAATAAGTGTTGAATCAGATAAATTAACAGGAAAACAACTGGAGTAATTGTTTCTTACGCATCCTGTTAACAACTCCATATTATATACTCAAAAGTTCATGGAGATGTATTCTTTCTGGAATATTAATATTTACATACAACTATGAATGACAAATTCACCTCTGATCATGAGACAGATCCATAGCTCTTATGCCAGCATCACAGCCAGGGTAAATATAGAGCTGCTTGAAGTCACAGGCTTGCCATACTTCCACTACACCATTGTCTCCTCCTGTCACCAGGTTCTGCCCATCACTGCTCAGGAGGATGGCCTTCAGGAGAAAAAGAAAAATCCTAAGCACACAGTTAGCTTTTACGGAAATGGATCAATATTTTAAAAATTGAATTGACTTAAAAGCATTTCTTATGTTCTGCCTGCCCACTTTAAATTTGAAGCAAAATGCTTTCTCTCCTCTTTCTCCCTAGTCCAAAAATAAACCAACAAATTTTGCATCATCAAAATTTAAAAACAATTTTGTGGTATTAAACATGATAGATAACAAAAAAGCTCCTTGACTGAATCTGCCAAAGCTTGAGTTCAGCACATTTCTGCATACCATAATTTGTTCTACAATACTCTGTGCTATCACTATCACCTAGAGCAGAGCAGCGATCTGCATTCCTAATGCTGCTTCAAGTGCTAGTGACAGAGCAGAGCCCTGAAGGCATGAATTCATGTCTTGGTTAATAAATGAAGAATGAGGACTTTTCAGAGCATTTTGTTTCAAAGACATATTTCCCACTGAAATTTAATTCCAAAGAAAAATTCTGGGAATAGTGTGGGCTCATAAACTATTTGTTCTTATTTATTCTGGAAAAGCTGAAGTGCATTTTCATATTTGGAGATGGTGATGAAAGGGTATGTGTTTGAATGGCTTAACCATGAGGCAGCAATTTTACATATATGATTTCCTCTAAACCATATGGCAAATAAATCCAATTTATTTTAATAAATAAAGGCAACACACAACAAATGCTTGGTTGCATTTAGATTTACCCTGGTTGAATCATTGATCTCCATCTGAGCTAAGAGTTTGCCATTAATGCTGAAATTGCTGAACCGTCCTCGTTCATAGTAGATGATGCAGTGACCTTCACTAGACACTGAAATTAAGCGAGGGTACAGGCAGTTTTCTGTTCCTTCCAGGGCTCTCAGCAAGTCTCCAGTAATTGTGTGTACTAGGCAAGGACCTTCTGTATATGAAAACATAATATATAATTTATTTGCTGTTCATACAAACAATATAGGCTGTGCACAAAAATGATGCATAAAACACATTTATACCACATTAGTGTTGCATAGATATAATAAGCTGCAATGTTTACTTAAAGAATTTAAAACACTCAATAGAAAAGGAAATGCAAGAGCTAGCATGTTAAGAAAACAAATACAATATGCCCAGAAGTGTATTATTTATTTAGACTGCTAGGAATTTTCCTTGATCTGTCTTCTAAAACACTCTTTCCTCTTCCCAAGCATTCAGAAGCTTAACTCTTGGTGATTTTCTCCAACAACATGAACTGTCTTTAGCCTGCCCATTCACATTAAACAGATGTGGCCCCACCACTGACTAGTGGGAACAACTCCCATAGGGCATGTAATCATATTACTGCATATTTCTCCTATAGACAATGGCAGTTCCTGCAGATCCTCTCCCTCAATGAACATGTGATATGCATAGATTTCAGTCCTGATTTGTTTCAGCAATGGGATTCATGTGAAAGCCCACAGAGTTACAGTGATACTTGGACTATAAGAGATTTTAGAGGATCACACTATAACTCCATTTGCTCCAGAGAGATTTTAATATGAGATTTTAATGTCTTTTTATTGCACTCATGAAAGAAACAAACAGCTATGAAATCTACAATGTACATTTTAAGACACAAAACTAGCTTATTTACATTTCAAGAACAATGAGAAAGGTTTTTTTTTTAAAGTGAGATCTGTATCCTTACTAAGAAAAAAGGGTCTCTTCTCTGATAAATGTAATGAGTCACAGGAAATTCTAAATGTTTTCTTTTATGAATCACAGGATAATCCTGGACAGCACAGTAATCTCTTCCTTATACAACTGATTCATGACCCTGAAAGTAAATTCATATTGGCGTACTCAGCCATCTCATGTTAAGTCCTTCTAAGTTCTTTAAAATTCACACAGCAGCTGGGTTTGCCCAGGTAGAAAAAATCAGCATCAGCTCATTTATCTGTGAACCCTCTGATACAGGCTTTTATCTGTGCTTGCATAAAGTCTTATGCAGAGGGACCCTGAGTTTGGCTGCATCCAAGGGATACCACTGCAATGGAAATATTTAATTTTCTCAAATTGTTGAGTTTCAGCTTTGGAAATACTGAAGTGCCAGGATATTGCAAAAAGTGATGCCTTCACCTTTAGAATAATTATCTTGTTAGATTTCTCAAAAGAAAATGCCTTCATAGTTGAATGGTCATGGGCACAAAAAGGCACAGCTGCTTTAGGATGCCACTGTAAGTGCGTACAGGCTGACCACTGTTTTTATGGTTTCTTGGGTAAGAGCGTGGAAGCATCAATCTGATTCACGAGATTTTCCACAGAGGAGTCCTAAATATGCTGTCTTCCTGCTTCAGTAGGTTCTCAAGTGCTGCCTGTGTCATCAGAGTGCCACGGCCAGTTCCAGAGGAACAGCTGCCCACCAGGAAGCACAGGCTGAGCTCAGGCTGGAGGGCAGGGCAACACAACACTACCATGAGGTGCAGTCTCAGAACCTGGAAAGTTCTGAAACTAACAACCTGAAGAAAAAGCTTTTAAAGAGGCAAATCTTGGTAAATAGCAATTTAAAAAGAATTATTTATCTCTGCATTTTTATATGGTTGAAAGCTGCAAAAGGAGGAGCATGGGAAGACTAAGAGACAGACTGGGCCTCCATTTCTCTCAATCAATTATAGACATATTCTGTATTTGACTTAAAAATCTTTGGTTGTCCATCAGCTTTTGCTTCTAAAAATGTGTAAGTTACCGAAGTAGCAAATAGTCATTGAATCAGAAGACAACAGAGTACAGATTCCATCTATATTAAGAGGAAATTTGCAGAGATAGTTGGAAAGGGTGGACAGCCACAGTGTGTGAAGCTGCCTAAAAGGGTAAGAAATGGCAATAAAAAGACTTAGCTCCAGCATCACTGTACATTCTTTTGAAAATGTCTTGACTTTGCCTATGACTGTTATGTAGTATGCCATTACAAGAGTTAATGACCCATTAGGATTTCCTGTTAAAAATGGCTTCACTCAAAAGTTTCACACTCAGCTTTAAAAATAAATGTTATGCTCCAAGACAGTATAAAAAGCAATAACCCAGGAGCTCAGCTGTGAGCAAAAGCTGGCAGAGCAAGCATCACATCCTTTTCACCCTCAGAAGCAGCAAACTTAAAAATGATTACAAAGATATCCAAGGGGATGACTAAAACAGGCATCACTATAGATGGAGATAGCAAGTCACTGGATGGGAACGTAGGAGTAGAGTGGAAATGTAGGAGTAGAGTAGAGACAAACAGGAAAGGAAAAAAGACATGCAGTTTGACAAGTTAAGAAGCTGAATGAGAGAGGGCAATGGGGGAAGAAAAGTGGGCATGGAATTAAGGAGAAGTAGGAGAAGATGGGCAGAAGCAGTGAAATGGAAGGAGAAACAGAGTAAGGAAGAATGAAGCAAACACTCATTGAGACTGGTGCTTTATTTACATTGATTACCAGTAATGCAGGATATTGCTGCAGGCTTGGGAAAGTATTTTGAACATTTGTGATACCAATTGTTGGGTGCTCTGGATTCCATAGGTAAATAACATGAAAACCTGCAACTGCTCATTATTTAGAAAACCTTGCAACAAATCCTACTGGACAGAATGCTGCACACAGTTCCAAAGCAAACTGATCCTGCTTCCCTGGAGAGTGAGGTCAGGCCTACAAAGTACCTCTCAACTACGATCAAGGTGGAGAATTTTGAGCTGGCCCTTCCTGACATGCCTGTCTCTATCAACAGGTTTCTTCAAAATCAATAGATGTCATTAGAATTATTGTATGCATTTTTATAAAATATTCTTCCAGATCTGAGAAATAGCTGCATAAACTGATGGCTGGAAGGAATGATCCACTTAATTTGTGTCTAAACTTGTAAGTGCAGATAGTAAACAACAATTTTCAGAGAAAAGTGCTTCAGATTCTCCTAGAATTACAACACGTCTTAGGGAAAATTAAAGTATATGTAGCTTGAGGGAAGTCTGAAATACCACTAAAAAAGACTCTACAAATGTTAAGACTTAAATAATAAAAATGTTTCTGACCTTTAGCACCACTGATAACAAGTCCCAGCTCTGCACAGACCGACACACAGACAACTTCATGATCATGACCAGTTAGAACGGCACGAGGAGCTGGATAATCACCTGTTTAAAAAAAAAAAAAGTGAGAAAGAAAACAAGGGAATGCCAAATCAGATGCAGTTTATCAACAAAAGAACTTTGATTTGCTTGAAATCATTAAGCATGAGAGGTGCAGTGTGATTAAATATCTCATAATTAGGATACCGAGCAAAATATATTCAGATATCATAAAGTTTCACAACCACAACTTCCCAAAGCATTAATGAATTAATGGAAAGAACACCAAGTGTGGTGCTATTGAAAGCAGCTGTGATGTAAAATTCTGCTATTGAACATATATATCTCCAGACTTACATTATGAACCTAAAGAATTTAGGATGTTCCTTTAATAATGATCCTAATGTGTTTCATGAAACTAGGGGGTAGGAAAAGAAGAGAAGAACAAGACTGTACTAGAAACATACTACTGCTTCATAGGTAATATTGATTCAGAGACACAAGAAATGGTCACAAATTAAAATATGCTTAAAAATGGTAATTGGTATACATAATTATATATTTATTTATACATATTATATATATATATATATATA